AATCACGAGTAAAAATAAACTTTTCCTTTTTATAAGTTATCTTGGGTATTTTGTTACAGTAGTGGAAAACTAAGTACTTAAAAGTATCTACTATATACAAGGCACTGGACACCTAGAGATGAGAAGGACCCAATTGCTGCCTTGACAGAGTATAGACCCCAGATAACTAGAGACCATGGAGAAGCTGTCATTATGCCTATTTTTGGAACTAAAACTACTTTGATGGAGGCCCATAAGTGGAGGACACCATGCAGAATAACACACGGGGAACCTCAGATAAGTAGAACAGGAACCCTGCACTTGTTGCAGTGGTGTAGATCAACACCATAGTTGAATTAGAATGTGAGAAATGCCAGAAAATAGTGACCAAATGCCTTGGAGGTTTAAAGGGGAGCAAGTACTTGCAGTCTGTATGCAGTGCAGGGGTTGGTTTCAGGGAACATTTTCCCCCCTTTTATCATTCATTCCACCCAGTACATTGCTGTACTCCAAGCACTATGCCTGGTGCTGGGGTGTAATGAAAATGAACCCCAGCCACTCAGCAACCTTTGGTCAAGTGGAGTGGAAGAACAATAAGAACAGTATTTCTTTAATTTTAGATATCTTCCATTGTGAGTTGTGATGATTTTGGAGATGATAAAATTTGGGAAAAGATGTATTTTATAATTATTGACATAAAATAGTCATAGATAATCCAAACAATTGACAACGCCTTGTCCTAGATGCTTGCATATAAAAGGCAATTATATGCAGTAAACAGCTTGCTCTCCATAGTTCCTGGGAAATGTGAATGAATGAGGAAATGAATGAATGAATACCGGAAAAATAAATCCTCTGTCCTCTGCCTTAGACAATCTGGAGAAGACTGTTCCTTGCCTAAAAGTCCATACAAATGGTAATTTCAAAACTTTCATATTGTCAAGGAAACCACTCAGAGATGGATAGCTGTGGGATGGACTCATTTCTCATAAGTCCTAAGAACCAGGATTTTAAATGATTAGCACTGGAGGTGGAGAGAGAAGCTGCAAAGAACAGAAAAACATAACCCTTTTAAATTATTACCCAGAGTGCTAATTTCATGTTGAAAGTGGTTGGTGTTGCAATTTGTGGGAACCTTAGAAATGTATGATCCATTAATTACAGTTTTAATTTGGTTATAAGGTCGCAGATAATTGGAATTCTTGTGTTGGAACCCAAAAGTCCTTTTTCAAAAATGGCCCTTTGAGTGAATTCTTACATACAATACATTTTGAGAATTAGTGGTTTACACCTGGTCTCTGAAAATAAAGAATCATATTTGCAGCATATACTAGTGGGGACACCTAAGTAGGGACTGGGGTTTTGAGGGCGGCTAACAACTTACCCAAATTGCTTTATTGGTTGTGACAGTTTATTTTGTCAATGTGACTGGATTGAGAGACACACTTCTAGGTGTGTCCCGGGGGATGTTTCCAGAGAGGATTGGCATGTGTGCCTACAAACTGAGGGGTGAACCCTGCCCTCATTGTGGGTGGCAACATGCAGTTGGCTTGCAGCCTGGGTGGAGTGGAAAGGGGGAAGAAGGCAGAAGTTGATCTGTAGCTGTCATTGCCTATGGACACCAGATTCCAGTTTCTTCAGCCTTTTATTGGTGAACTCACATAAGCTACTCTTCTGGGAACTTCCAGTTCTTCAGCCTCAATTCTTCAGCTACATCCCTGGTCCCTATTGTTCTGAGGCTTCCAACTTTTTGAACTAAGGAACTACTGGGCCCTCTGGCTCTCTAGTGTGCAGATGGCCATTTTGAACTCTCCAGCCTCTGATTCTTGTTTGTTTGCTTTTTTGTGGTACCGGGGATTGAACTCAGGTCCTTGTGCTTGTCAGGCAGGCCACCGAACCACTGAGCTGAATCCCTGGCCCCCAGCCTCTGATTCTATAAGAAAATTTAATAAATCCCCTTTAATAATTGTGCTGCTATAAACTTGGGTATGCATGGATCACTGTAATGCAATGTCTTTAACTCTCTTTTTGGCACTGGGGATCAAACTTGGGACTTTGCACTTGTGAGGCAGGCAGCGGAACCACTGAGCTAAATCCCCAGTCCCAATGTGTTTAACTCTTGGGAAGATTCCTAGAAGGGGAATAGTTGGTTCAAATGGAATTTCTAGTTTTATTCTTTTTAAGGAATCTCCATACTGATTTCAAGGTGGTTGTACTAGTTTATATTCCCATCAACAATATAGAAGGATTTCTCTTTCCCCATAGCCTTACTAGCAATTGTTATTTGATTTCTTGATGATGGTCATTCTTTCTGGAGTAAGATGGAGAGACTCAATGTTGTTTTAATTTGTATTTCTCTAAAGGCCAGAGAACGGAAGAGTTTTAATTAAGATGACAGGCCAGGGATGTAGCTCAGTGGCACAGCACCTGCCTGGCAAGCACAAGGTCCTGAGTTTGATCCTTGGTACAAAAAACAAAACAAAATAAAAACTCACAATTATGATAATTAAGATAGTGACATGTAATTTCTTTTTGAAAAAAGATCACTCTACATGCAATGTAGAATAGAAAATAGAGGAGATAAAATTAGGCATGGTGGCATTAGCCTATAATCTCAGCACTTAGAAGGCTGAGGCAGGAAAAGTAAGAGTTCAAAGCCATTCTGGATACATAAAGAGACCTGGTCTAAAAAACAAACAAACAAATAAACGGTTGGACAAAAAAAATCCAAAACTTCTAGGAGAGAGGAGATATAACCTTTAGGGTAACAAGACCAGGTGAGAGGCAGAGATAGCATAGTTGGGGAAAAGGACAATGGATATGGATTTCATTGGAGGAAGTCAGTAAGACTTCATTAATTGGTTTGAAGTTGGGGAGAGAGTAGGGTGTGCTGGATCAAACTGCCCAGGGAGAATGTATAGAATGGGAAGATAGTGCACAGGAAATGATCATTCTTCCTGTTAGCTGGCCCTTGGAAGATGGCTAAGACTTTAAAAGCTTTTTTAAAAACTTTTTTTCTAACCACTGTCCTCTCATCCAACACCATTATTATAAAAGTTATACATTTGGACTGAGGTGTAGATCAGTTGGTGAAGCTCTTGCCTAGCATGTGTGAGGCCCTGAATTTGATCCCAAGCAACACACACACACAGTTACACATTTTTATTGTGCAAATTTTGGAACACAGTAGTCTTTAAGACTCAATAATCCTATACATCGCCATTAAATCTCATTATATATTGCTCCAGTATTTTACTAGCAGCTAGCTACCTACCTAATAAAAACAATTCATATTATACACTATTTGGCATCCTGTCTTCTCATAATGTTTTAATGTGGATATTTTCCTGATGCTCTTCTTTATACAAAACATGATTTTATTATATTTTATTTGCAATGCTGGGGATCAAACCCCAGGGCCTTGCACATGCTTGTCAGCTGCTCTACCACTAATTTACATCCCCAACCTCAAAACAGGATTTTTAATGGCAACATATTTCATTGTGTGAAAATACCATAGTAATTTAAAGCTTTCTCTTTGTAGGACTTTGTCTTTTTCAACCTTCTTTTTCCTTTGTAGATACTATATGATGGGTAGAATAAACTACAAGGAGTAAAAGTACTGGATTAAAATGTATGAATGTATTTAGGGTTTTTAATAATTGCCAAGTTGCACCATAGAAGAACTCTATCTCTTACTAGTTCAGTAACAGAGCTCCAGGAGGTCAGGGATTTAGGTCTATGTTGAAAGGAAGTGAGGTCACCATGAAATGAGCAGCTTTGCCTCTACCACACCCTTCCCAACATAATGTTTTGCCTCACCACAGGCCCAAAAGCCACAGAGAAAACTGCCCATGGACTGAAACTTTAAAAATAGTGCATCAAAACAAATATTTCCTTTTTTAAGTTGGTTTTCTCATGTATTTTGTCATAGTGACTGAAAGCTAACATATGTTGTGTTAACTCAGTGTTCAAAAATTGTGAACAAATGAATGAATCAAAAAGTGAATCAATAACTTGACTATACTGATTATAATTATTTATTTTGCTGTTTTCCTTAATATTTCTTTGATTATTAGCATGAGTTTACATATTTTTCTGTGGAAAGGCATTGGTTAACTTTGACCTTTGATTAAGAACTAAATTTATATATACTTAGTAATTGTGTTATTTTGAGTCTTGTATAATATTACACTAAACCTCAGTTAGTTCTTAAGATGGACATGGTGATTTACCTCCTTTATAAATTTCTTTGAGAATGAATAATATTTGCATGGTACTAATTATAGTACCTGTAAATAGTAGCACAAGTAAATGTTGATCATATTTTAAATTGATTATATGTTCTATATGTTCATATCCTTTGCTTATTCTTTTTTTTGAGTTTATTGGTACATTTTAGGTATACAGTACAGTTATATTCATTATTGGGATCTTGTTCCTTTACATGACAGGTCTTGGTTCTCATTTTCTTTGCTTATTTTTTCTATATTGTAGTTTATCTTAAATATTATAGGCCTAGCTCTGACATATTTTCCTCATTTCTGTTATTTTGTATATAATGGCTTTCTTAAGGCACTAAAAATTTATTTTATCCCAATTCATATCTGTATAGTTTTTTCTTCATGATGACTTCCGCTGCTTTTGTGCTTAAAAATGATTTTCCCATGCTAGAACCTTAAACATTTTGAGGTTGTTTTCTATATTCTAGGCTTTTTTTTTTTTTTTGTACCGGGGATCAAACTCGGCTTGCAAGGCAGGCAGCAGAACCGCTGATCTAAATCCCTGACCCCCTAGACTATTTTTAATAGTTACGTACAAAATGGTTTCATCTATCTAATCAGAGCAATTAATATTTTTGTCTGTGATGCCACATGTATTAGACTAGCATAGGTTAAAGAGTGGTTACAAATAAACTGAAATACTAATGACTTAGTATAGCGTTTCCTCTCTCCCTCTCCCTCCCTCTCTCTCCTTCCCTCCCCCCCCTCTCTCTGTCTCTCTCTCTCTCTCTCATTCAGGGATATGTACATTGGGACAATGCCCCTATCTAGACACTGAGGAATCCATACTTTCTCCATCTTGTACCATAACCTTATCATGTGGTTTCTAAGGTATTACAGCAGGAAAAAGAAGGATGGAGGATGCAGGAACAGCTTCTGATTATTCTGCCTTTCTGGAAGTGACATGTATCACTTTTACTCATGATTCATTGGCCAGAAATGATCATATGGGACCAGCATAATCATCAGGAAGGTAGGAAACTTAAGGAAGTAGGTGAAACATTCTGATGATCACCAATTGTCTATGCTAGAGTTAGTGATGAAGTAACATTTTTCTAAGTTGTCTCACCATCCTTTTTAATATAATTTAAAAGTTATAGTAAAGTTTAAATAATAGCACTCATATCCGCCAAACCCAAACTTGACAAATGTTAAGATTTTTCATATTTGTCTCTATTTTTTATAATACGGTGAACTGAAATATGGTGGTGCCTCAGTTCGCAAACTTTATTCTTTCCACGATTCTTGTTGCAAACCAGATTGGGTAAGGACTGAATCAAATTCAATGGTTAGGTTCAGTACTGACCTTCTGTAGGGGAAAATTTGATTCAGAAAGAATTAAATTCATGAACCAAGGTGCTACTGTATATTCACATAACATACAATTTATCCTTTCAAGAGCAATTATGTAGAATTTAGTATATTTATACAGTTATGTGACCATTACCAACATCATGTTAGATCGTTTTCATGGCCTTCAAAAGAGGAACAGTTACTCTCTGCTCTCTGTTGACACCCAAGCCCTGGCAGCAACTAATCAACTTTCTGTTTCTGTGTTTGCCTCTTCTGGAATTTCATATTTCCTTATATTATAATATTTGATGTTACAATATGTAGGCAGTTGTGACTGGATTCTTTCATTAAACACAGTGTTTTTAAGGTTCATCAGTAGTTATATATACCAGTACTTTGCCATTTTAATTTATGAATAATATTCTATTTTATGGATGTTCCATATTTTGTCTCTATCTGTTGATGGACAGTTGAGCCATTTTTTGGCTATCATGGATAATTTTCCTATAAACATTTGTTTATGCATTTTTGTTTAAACATATTTCCAATTTTTGTGGGTATATAATACTTTATGTTTAATATTTTGAGAAACTGCTAAACTGTTTTCCATACAGTGTATTCTGCTGGTGTTGAATGGAACGTTCTGTAGATACGTTAGGTGTAGTTAGTTTGTGTTGTTATTCAGATCTTCTATTTCCTTATGATCTCCTGAGTAGTTATTCTACTATTTGAAATGAGGTATTGAACAATTGTTATTGATGGATTTTCTATTTCTTCCTTCAATTTTGTCAGTTTTGCTTCATGCATATTGGTATTCTGCTGTATAATGCATGTGTATCTATAATTGTTAGGTCTTTCTGATAAATTGCCTGTTTTTATCAAAAAGTTCTTTTCTCTTTATCTAGTAATAAGTTTTGCTTTTAAGTTTATTTTGTCTGATATCAGTATAGCTACTTTGCTTTTCTGTTTTAAAGTGGTAGGTATTAAACTCAGTGTCTTGTCCTTGCTAGGTAAGTATTCTTCCACTGAGGAGCTCAGAGGCCCACTCTTACTCTTTTGCTTACTGCTTGGATGGAATATCTTCTAACCTTTGACTTTAAACCTATTTTTAATGTAATTTAAATAATTTAAACTTTAAAGTGTGTTTATTAAATAAGTGTAATTTATACATTGAAATCTTTGCCTTTCTAGGATTTAGTATAACTTGTGAGGTGGGAATTTGACCCCACCTCTGGAATGTACATCATCCTAAGTACAAACTGAATAACCCAGCATTTCTGCACTGATTTGAAAAGCTAATTTTACTTTAGGTCATATCTGGAGGCTTCATTCTATTAAGATTTATTTAAATGGATTTATTAGCATTGCTTTCTATTTTATTGGTTTATGTATTTCCCCTATATTGCTCTCCTTTGCCAAAATTTTCCTGTTTGTGCCAGGCGTGGTGGCACATGCCTGTAATCCCAGCACTTAGGAAGCTGAGGCAGGAGGATTGCTGTGAGTTCGAGACCACCCTGGGCTACATAGTGAGTTCCAGGTCAGTCTCAACTACATAGTGAGATCCTGTCTCAAAAAAAAAAAATTGTTTGTGCATCTTTTGTTCTAATATTTGGTCTTTGACCTTTGTTCTGGTTCCTGACATAGGGCTTCTAATTTCCTTGAAATCTCACGGGTGATAGGAATTTTATGTATGTATGTATGTGTGTGTGTGTAATTAAGTCATGATTATGAGCTGAGAAATTTTAGTTACCTCCCTCTCCATGTTCTAGGAAGAATAAACGGGCTAGAGATTGAGCTATTAGTCAATCATACCTATGGGATGTTGGTTCCATAAAGAACTTCTAACAGTAGGTTGGCTTATAAGTTAAAACTGTGTGAGAGGCTGGGGTAGGAAGATCACAAGTTACAGGCCAGCCTGTGCAAATTTGCGAGACCCTCTCAAAATTAAATAAAAATAAAAGGAGTGGATGGCTGGGGAAGTACCTCAGTAGCCCTGAAGTCAAGCCCCAGCATCATAAAACAACAACAACAAATACATAACCGTAAAAAAATACCCTAAAAGGTTGGGTTCAGAGATATTTTGGGTCGGTGAATACATCCATATGCTGGGAGGATGGTAACCCCAGCTTCATGGGAACAGAACCTTCTGCCTTAAGGACCTTTCCATACTTTGCCCTATATATCCCTTCTTTTCTGGCTGTTTCTTTAATTATATCCTTTAATAGCGGGTAAATATAAATAAACTTTTATCTGAGTTTTGTGAGACATTATAGTGTATGGAGGGATATGATCTCTGACTGTAGCCAAGATGGAGAGAAGTATGGGTAATTTGAGTATCCAGTATTTATGGTTGGTACCGGAAGGAAGGGTGCAGCCTGTGGACTAAGCTTTAGAACTTGTGGGGTCCAAAGATAATTCCAGGTAAATAGTGTTAGGATTGAACTGAGTTGAATGGCCAGAGAGTTAAGAGAATTAGTTGCTGTGGGAAAACATTCCACCCAATTTGATATCAAGAGTGTTCTGTGAATGTAAAGAAAACAGAGTTTTCCTTTTATCGTATTCTTTTTTTGTTTTTTTGGCACTAGGCAACTTGTCATCTTAATATTAGAGAGCTCTGAGACTTCATCTATTTGATAACTAGTTTATTCATTCATTTGCCCATTTAAAAAGTATTTGAGTCCAATTATGAACTGCTGACCACACAGTAGTGTCAAATAAAAAACTGGCCTCCGCTTCTAGAGTGTACGATGCAATGGACATGTAAATAGATACTGCTTTTATTTCCAACTTGATTATCTGTGGGTCCTCTAATATGTTTAACATGATCTTTCCTTAAACACTTTCTTGGTTTTAGCTTCCTCAAAACCATACCCTGAGACAAAGATTTAAGTACAAATTAGTTTATTTGGTGAGGGAATGGGAAGGTGAGTGAACAGGGAAATGAAATGGAGGAAAGTAATAACAATGTCTTAATGAGCAGACTTATACAGTAGACAACTGGGGATCAGTCCTGCTAGATACCTTCTGAGAAGCTCTATGGGATGCATTCTGAATCAGCCTGCACTGAGGGGCAAGGAAATTTGGGAACCCTTGTCTCTTTTTGATGGATAGTTGTGCCTGGAAGACTTCTGTTTTGCCTTTCTATGGCAAGCAGTGCAGCCAGAAAGTCTCCACATACAGGATGCAAGTGCTAGAGAAGGAAGCTAAATATGGCACAGGGCCTGCCTTATAGAAGATACCAGGTATCTTAGTCATTTTCCTTGTTGCTTGGATAATTATTGGATAACCACATCTTAAAAAGGAGCAGTTTTATTGTGGCTCTCATTTTCAGAGGTTTTAGTCCATGTTCAGCAGGCTTAAACATAGGAAATGGCATGGTGAAAGTCCATGTGACTTACCTCCTCTGAACAGATCCTACCTCTTGATAGCAAGTCAGCTATATGGCCCCCTTGATTGAATCACCTTCCAAAAGTCCTGTCTATGAGTGCACAAGGCTTGTAGGGGACATTCTCTACCATACTTCTCTGAAAATAAGACCTAACTAGAAAATAAGCCCTGGCATGATTATTCACAATGCTTGTAATATAAGCTTTACCTCATAAATAAGCCCCAGTTAAGATCATCAGCCAGATGGATGCATTTAATATGTCCATTCCAACACATGTTGAAAGTATTGAATTATAAAATCATTAATTTATAATTAAATATAAATAAAATTTATGTAAAATAGAAAAAATTACAATAAATATAATAGATAACATATAAATAAACTTTAATACCTAAAATAAATGATAATATAAAATAAGTATTTGTAAATACCCAAATTTTGGGTGCTTTTGGATGAGAGGTAAATAGTATGTAAACAGACTAACTCAAGACCTACTAGCAAATGACCAGAGTACAGACATAACACATGGATAATGTGGACACTTGACAATGAATGTGGTTGCATTTAATATGAATATTCATGATTCAATACATTGTGTATTGTAACAGATGTACTTAATGCACTTGTGGGAAATAAAGCAATGTTTTTTGAACTATGGTGCCTTGCAATTTTTTGTTACTTTTGCGTGAACCATCATTCTTAGCTATCATCATTTTTGTTGCCACTCCTGTCTCATAAGTCTTTACTTAACATTTGATTTAATGGAAACTTTATGAAACCCAGTCTGCAGAAGGTGATGACATGGGTGAAGAATTAATGGGATAAAATCACTGACAGCTGTGTTGCCAATATATAATGTGCAGGCTTCATGGACAAGAAGTGCTCCCTTAAGGAGAGTTCTGCTGTTGGACATGAGAGACTGCGGCCAGTGATTCTGTGGGAAGTGGAATTGCAAGAAATTCAGACTGGAATTTGGAGTTTGGAGAGTTATGTTGATTTTCCAGAGAAAAATGATGTGACTGTATTTGAATAAATGTAAATTTTTTGTGCATAAATGTAGATTGTTGTACATGAATAAAAGTAGATTATTGTACATAGAAAAGTAAGACATCCCCTGAAAATAAGCTCTCTTGCATCTTTGGGAGCAAAAATTAATGTATGAATCAGTCTTATTTTGGGAGAAATAAAGTAAACCGTAACACTATGCCCTGGATCCCCAAAAAACTTATATACATCTATTTATGCAAATGCATTTAGTCTATCTCTAAGAATTTCCAAAGTCTTAAGTTTCACCGATGCTAGAAAGTATAAGCCCAATGTCTCATCTGAGACTCAAAGCAAACCCTTAGCTGTGAGCCCCTGTAAAAATCAAAAAGTTAAACACTCCTAACATATAATGGCACAGGGTAAATATTCCCTTTCCAAAAGGGAGGACTAGAAAGACAGGAATGGGACTAAAGCAAGACTGAAAACCAGTAAGGCAAACATTAAATCTTGGAGTTCCATGTCCAGCACCTGAGAAGATGAGGTATTATCTTCAAAGGGCTTGGCCAGCTCTGAGCCTACAGCATTGCCTGTTGCAGCCTACATCTCTTCTTTTCTGGGTTGGATTTTTTCCCCTGCGTTTAGCTCCCTCAGATGTTTCATGCTTCTCTGACTTCCTGGGATCTCTACTGCACTTTCAGCTTCATTTTCAGAGCTTCACTCACTGCCCTCTTAGGGGGCAAACTGCCTGTTCTTCCAGCCCTCTTGAAATCTGGGTGGAAGTCTCCCTGATTCCACAACTCTTGTGTTAGGTGTGCCCATAAAAACAGAATCATATAGATGATGCCAGCATCTGCTGCTAGCTTGGACAGTAGGGAGGCCCCTTTGGATCATGGCTTCAGAGCCCTCCCAATACCTGGATGGCTGAGCACTGTTAACCAAATTTCAGGAAACCAATTCCATGGGTAGTGGTTTTTGAGTTAGCATACCCTAGGTATCTTTCTCAAAACAAAGTACTTCACTTTTGCCCTTTTGAACATGAGATAGGTAGGGTCTTGCAGATTTCTGAAATGCCCTTAAGACATCTTTTATGTTTTCCTGATGCAAACTACTTGACTTCTTTTTAATACTGATCTTTTAAGTAACCAGTTCTTCTTGGCCAAAATTTTACAGATGACAATTTTACAGGCTCAAACTTTATCAACACTTCTTTTCAGACAGTAGCAAAAAATTTCAAATTATTCAGCTCTGCTTTTTGGACCTACTTCTCAGGGTAGATATGACTAAAACCTTCCAGCAGTACCCATGCCTCAGCCTCAATATTGGGCTGCCATGAAATTTCCTCTACCAGATTAATTAGGCTACCACCAGTCTCCTATAAAGTCAGGACATGAGCAAAATGGAGACAAAATTTCTGCCCCAAAATACATCTAGTCTCAAGTTCAATTGCTAACAGAGCACTTGGTTCTAATTAAAACTTATTAAGCCTGGCTTTTAACATCTGCATTTCTTTGAGCATTCTGGTCTTCTGAGCTCTGAGCAGGATCTTTTATCAAGCTAAGCATATAGAATTCAAAGGCTTCTCTAGCTGGCATCTCCACATCTTTCCAAATTCCTCTTACAAACCAGTTCCAAAGGCTTCTTAACCACATGGTCAAGTATTTTCTCAGCAGTGACACAATTCTCTGATACCAAAATCTGTCTTACTTTCCTATTCACTGGATAAATACATAATCCCATACATTAAAGGGAGAGGTTTACTTTTGGCTAACAATTGTACAAGTTTAGTCCATATTTGGTAGGCTCAAACACAGAAGAAGGCATGATGGAAGGGCCTTGACAGAGGAAAGCTGCTTACAGGAGTGTGAAGAAGAGAGAAAGAAAGCGCCAGGGAGGGAGATATACTTTTCCAGGTCACACCCCACTAGCCCATTCTTTGTAACTAGACCCTACCTCCTAACAGACCCTACCTCCTAACAGTGAGTCAGCTGTATTTCCCTCATGATTCGGTCACCTTCCAAAAGACCTGCCTATGAGTGCACAAAACCTTTGGGGGACATTGTCTATTTAATTCATATCAGCTGTCTCAAAACTACCAATGAGCACATGGGTAGGGCACTG